AAAAAAAAAAAAAAATCGAAAAAGTGTAGTAAACACATTTTTATGGTCTAATTCTGACCCAAAACTGAAATTGTCAACAATTTACAATGCAAAAGCACATTACTACTCAAAAAATCCCAACTTGAGTAGAAGAAAAAAAATAATAATAATTTGACTATATACAACCAAGCCAGATATAAATATTTTTACTGCTGTTTTTCTCTATTCGATTTTTCTTACGGGAATTTTATCAAACACGTAACGGGCACTCAACACATACCTTAAAAACCTTTAAAGTGGCACATTTCACGGCCTGGCTTCTTCTACTTCTCCTTCAACAACGGCTCCAGCGACGCCTGCCTGCAAGGAAATAAGCTCGCCGTCGAGGTCTACCCCGCCCCGCCGCCGGAATCGGCGCCGCCTCCCACCTCCGGAGGCACCGTAGCGTCGTCGCCGGCGTTCCCCTGGCCGTCTCAGCCTCGGGAGGGCGTGTCGCCGGGACCCGCGCCGGGTTTGTCGATGGCAGCGGGTGGGCCCTCGTCGCCGGAGAAAGAAGGCGTGCCTTTCATCAACAGCAGCCCGGCTGTGCCTCTGCCGACCGGCGAAGTTGACTCCGCCACGTTTCGTCCGCCGTCAACGTCAGGCAACTGGCACTCTGATCAGGTACTTATTGCTTAGAATTAGCTAAAGTCTTGTTGTAATTGTTTATTTAAATTCAAACAAAAAACTGATAAAAAAATAAAATAACTAAACAAGTTAACCAGTTAGGAAAATGGCTACGGGAACAAGATTTGTAACCGTTACATCATCACATAAGTATCGTGAATAGTTGATCTAATAGTTATAAACCTGACGGAATAGTTCCGGACAGTAGAAATAGAATCTAAAAATGAGAATAATTCTACTTTAATATAATTTGATATAAAAATAATATGAAAATATAAAAGTTGTTAATTTAAAATTAATGTAATATGGGGAAAAAAATATCACGTTTAGGGCGTCTCCAATGGTTGGCTATTTGACTAACTATTATGACGTGGACAGGGGAAAAATAAGAGAGAGAATAGTCACTAGCTACTAACAAATAGCTTATCTATTTCACGTAGCTCAAGATTATGTGAGAGGAGTATGTGAGTCCAATAGTTTAAAGTAGTTGTTTTTCTTATCTCTCACATCCATGTCAGCTAATTATATAGCTAGTAATAACTATTACCATTGGAGATGCCCTTACAAAAGATATTTATGGTGCCACGACAGTTTCACTACTGCATTGAATGTCATGCATAATGCATGTAACTGATTAATTTTAGACATTTGATTTCTTGTGAGAGCATATTTATTTATTTCACAACACAAACCTGATGAATTATGGTACACATGAAAGTTTTTTTTTTTTTTGAATATATATATATATTGACGCATTAATGATTCCTTTTATATAATAATTTGTATGTAGATATGTCGATGGGAAGATGCTACGGTCTCATTACGGAACCATTTCGTCGGGTTTGCGTAACCGTTAGATCAACAATCTCTGAAGGTTACATGATGATCTAACGGTTACAAACTCCGACGGAATGATTTCGTAACGGGACCTTAGCATTTCCCATGTTGATGATGAAAATGTTTCGGTTTTATGTGTCGAGTCTGGTGTTTTATGTGTCGAAGTTTAGTGTTTTCTAATTTTATGTTTGGTTCCGGTCAAAACGTCATTCAAGTGGGCTCTATAGCATTACTCATTTTTTATAATATGAGTTAAGAAAATTATTATATAATATGACTTGAGAAATTACTATAGCATAAATAATATTCTAAGTTTGTACTTAATTAAATTTAGTTATGAATTTTTAATCAGTACACTGCAATACATGGATGTAATTCAGGATGAATACTTTTATTCATACACTTTTAAAATTATAAAATACTTAACTAACTTAAACTATAAATATATTTAAAAGTTGATAACTTACTTTAAAAGAATTTCAGTAACTTTTGTTGTGGAGCCATCGGATGGCTCGACTTATGGTGTCATTCACATTTATTCTATGAAAATGTCTACATCGATAATATTAATTAGTTGTGTTTTTTTTTAATTGTGATTCTTAATTAATATTAATTTGTTGTGTGGTAAAATGCAGGTGAAAGGGTTTTGTGGAGTTCAGATAGGGTTGAGCTGTGTGATGTTGCTACTAATGATGATTTAGAGAGAGTATTTTGGATTTAAAGTAGTTTTAAGAGAGGATTAGGCCCATATGTTGTTGTATTATATTGCCTGCCCTTTTGACCCTATTTTGAGAATCATTTCCCCACTTTTGGTCGTTGCTCTTCAATTTGTGGTAAACGTAAATCTATTCATTCTCTTTCTCCATCACACATTTTTTTTTTTTTTTTTNNATATATATCTTTCAAAGCATAATCTTTCTATTGATCAATTAAAAGTCGCCTAAGTTATCTATTATTTTATTAAATAACTATATATATAATGTTGTTTTATTAATTAATTACTCTAACTAATAAGGTAGCCTGTCTATTTGTGTGTACACTTCAACTATATAGTTTAACTAGTATAGAGCCCGTGCGATGCACGGGGTGTACAAATTTAAGGTCATTTATCCAGCTTTATAATTATATAAATGAATAAAGAAAAATGTACGGGATATATATAATACGTGACATGTGCGAGGCACGAGATATATTTATTAGGGGACTATACTATAAGATGCAATATTCAATAAAAGTTTTACAATATACGAAAATAAATATAAATAATGTAAATATCTAAAATACATACACGATATGTAGAATAAATAAGCCAAATTGCAAATCTGAAAATATATTTTAAAAAATAATCGAAAATGTATTTCATTAAACATGTACAAAAACATCTAAATACATACACGAAAAAAAAAACTAAAATATACATTTCAAATTTTGAAATTAAAACAAAAATTCAAATAATTTGGCTTACAGTTTTATCATGCAGAACCAACTCGAGATATGATTTATATGTGTTGCCCCAGTCTTGAAAAAACATTCTCACAATTCAAACTTTGAGCATAGGTCTATTAGACCTATTGACTTGTTTAATTAACCTAAATTCTTGATTCATTGTTTTGAATAAAAGACTGATTGAGGATATTTTTTGTTCGCAGGAGGTTGACAGTGAGGAGATGATGGCTCGATATTTTGAGATTTGTAATTTATAATGGATAGAGTAGATATATATTGTTGTTAATATTTTTATTAGAAAATCTGAATCTGAATATACAAAAATCAGTTTAAACAAAATCAGAACAGTTTTCATACTATTAGAATATATTAGATAATAAATAAAGCTTTTTCTATTTTAGTAAAGATTTTACGTACTTTTTTTTTTAATTTATCGGATGTTATCATGTTATTGAATTTTTTTTTTTTGTTAAACCGATTTTATGGATAAAATACAAATACAATTATAGAATTGAACAAAATCAGAACAAATTTTCATACAATTAGATAATAAGAAGAAATTAGATAAGGAATTTTGAATTTACCTTTTTTTGTATAGATAGACTTTACGTACAAATTTTGACTTCACCGATTTTATGGGATTTGTTTTGACAAAATCGATATTAATATGGAATAAGACAAATAAATAAAGTCTTTTTTATTTTAGTAAAGATTTTACGTATTTTTTTACTTATCAGATGTTATGAGTTTTTTTTTTCTTAAATTGATTTTATAGGAAATAAGACAAATAAATAAAATAGCTAAATAAAATGAATTATTTATTTAAATCAAAAATAAAAAAAATAACTGGACAAAATTAAAAAAAAAAAGGAGTGGACCAAAATCAAACAGGCGTATTCTGAGAATACGTTTTACATTAATTTTAAAACGTATTATGAAAATACGTTTTATAAATAAAATTAATTTTATTTATTATTTTTAATTCTAAAACGTATTTTCAAAATACGTTTTACAATTAAATATAATAAAT